AACTCCTCCACTTGAGGCAGAACCTCACCCTCGACCTCAAGAGAGCAATCCACCCTTTTTTCGGTTGAGGACCATGGCCTCAGATTTGGATGTGCTGATTCTCATCCCAGCCACTTCACACTCTGCTGCAAACCACTCCAGTGAGAGCTGAAGATCACGGCACGATGACACCAACAGGACCCTATCATCTGCAAAGTGCAGACCAGCTGGCTGCACCGAGAAATTCTGTCCATAAAAGTTTTGAACTGAATTGTGACAACGGGCAGCCCTGGCGGAGTTCATTTCCCACTCTGAAGGGGTCCGACTTACTGTCAGCAATGCAAACCAAACTCTCGCACCACTTGTATAGGAACTGAACAGCCTGTAACAACGGGCCTCCAATCCCATACTCACGGAGCACCCCCCACAGTGTACCCAGAGGAACACGGTCAAATGCCTTCTCCAAGTCCACAAAACACATGTAGACTGGATGGGTAAACTCACATGACCCCTCAAGTAACCTAGTGAGGGTAAAGAGCTGATCCAGCGTTCCATGGCCAGGACGGAACCCTCATTGTTCCTCCTGGATCTGAGATTCGACCAACGATCTGACTCGCTTCTCCAGTACCTCTGAATAGACCTGACCAGGGAGGCTAAGGAGAGTGATGCCCCTATGATTGGAGCACACCCTCCAGTCCCCATTTTTGAAGAGGGGAACCAGTCAGTCCAGTGGCACTGCCCCTGATGTCCACGCGATGTTGCAAAGGCGTGTCAGCCAAGACAGCCCCACAACATCCAGAATCTTAAGGACATCAGGGTGAATCTCATCCACTCCCAGTGCCCAGCTGCCTCTGAGCTTTTAAACTACCTCGGTGACCTCAGCCACGGTTATGGACGGATCAACCCCAAAGTCCCCCAACTCAGCTTCCTCCACGGAAGACGTGCTGGTAGAATTGAGAAGGTCCAAGAAGTATTTCTTCCACATCCCGGCAACATCACTGGTTGAGGTCAACAGCACTCACCTTCACTGAACACAGTGTTAGTAAAGTGCTGCTTTCCTCTCCTCAGCCGCCTGATGGTTTGCCAGAATCTCCTCGGAGCTGACTGAGAGTTTTTATCCAAGGTCTCACCAAACTCCTCCCCCATCCAAGCTTTTGCCTCAGCAACAGCCAAGGCTGCATACCGCTTGGCACTCTGGTACTCCTCAACTGCATCCAGAGTCCCACTGGCCAACAAGGCCTGATATGACTCCTTCTTCAGCTTAACAACCACCCTAACCTGGGTTGTCCACCACCAAGTTTGTGGATGATCACCGCAAGAAGCACCGACAACCTTGTGGCCACAGCTCAAGGCAGCTACCTCAACAAGCGAGGTGCAGAACATGGCCCACTCAGACTCAATATCCCCCACTTCAGCTGGGATGCGGTTAAAGCGCTCCCAGTAGTGTGAGTGTAGCTGGGATGTGGTTAAAGCTCTCCAAGAGGTGTGAGTTGAAGATCTCTCTGATGAGTTCTTCTGCCAGGCGTTCCCAGCAAACCCTTACTACACGTTTGGGTCTACCGGGTCTGTCCGGCATCTTCCCCCACCATCTGATCCAACTGACTACCAGGTGGTGATCAGTTGACAGCTCAGCTCCTCTCTTTACCCAAGTGTCCAAAACAAACGGGCACAAATCAGATGATACGACTATGAAGTCAATCATCGATCTACGACTTAGGGCATCCTGCTGCCAAGTGCACTTATGGACACCCTTATGTTCGAACATGGTGTTCGTGATGGACAAACTATGACTAGCACAGAAGTCCAACAAGAGAACACCGCTCGAGTTCAGATCAGAGAAGCTATTCCTCCCAGTCACACCCCTCCAGGTCACACTGCCATTACCCATGTGGGCATTGAAGTCCCCCAGCAGAATAAAGGAGTCCCCAGCTGGCGCACCTTCCAGCACCCCTGCCAAGGACTCCAAGACGGCCGGATTCTCTGAACTGTAATTTGGCATGTAGGCACAAACAACAGTCAGAGCCCATCCCCCCACCTGAAGGCAAAAGGAAGCCACCCTCTCATCTATCGGGGAAAACTGTAACACACAGGCACC